ATCATATCATCCTAATTCATCTCCTCGAGTCCACCGATAAATGCACCAGGCACACGATAAAACACTCGCTAAATATCTCCAACTCGACATTACGACCCGCATTTATTTTCAATCAAATAATTTCTCCATAAATAAACCAAATATCTCCACGGATAAATCGAATATCACCACGAGAAAATCAAATAATTCCACGATCGAATAAGATATCACCACGAAAAATCAAATAATTCCATGATCGAATCCAATATCTCCACGAACAAATCCAATATTTTCAGGAATAAATCACATAATTCTCCATGAATACTCCAATAATATATCGAGAAAATCAAATAATTCTCCTCGAACAAATCGAATAATTTCACGAACAAATATCTCGAATAAATCACATAATTCCACGATCAAATCAAATATGCTCCACGGATGAATCAAATAATCCCACGAATAAATAAGATAATTGCTCGAACGAATCAAATAAGTTATCCAATTTTCACCAATTTAAATCCTCAAGTTCCATGTTTTCCAATTTAAATCAAACAATTTATTCCATTTTTGCCAATTTAAAAATCCCTTGAGTCCGCAATTTATATTAACCGCATACCTCTATCACGAGAATTCTATCTCGAATTACCTTACCGCCCACGCCGTATTGCCCCGAAATAGTCTCGGACTTGAATCGGGGCTGCTAGATCAGTATGAGCCGGTTTGGGCCTCTGCCGGACGTTCTGGGCCGATCTGGCTGCCTAGGGGCTGTTTGGCATGCTGAAGGGTCGTGCTGGGCCGCAATGGGGGCGCTAATGGGCCACGTTCAAAGGCATTGGGCCTCGCTAGTGCAACTGGGCTGCTCGCGGGCCGGATAATGCAGATTGGAGGGTAGGCTCAAGCGCGGGCCGGACGCGGGCTAGACGCGGGCCCCGCGGGCCACTGGCTGTGTGTGAAGCGGGCCGAGCGCGGCCCGCGCGTTCACTCATCTTCCCCTGCTGGGCCTCGTGTGTTGGGCCGAATGCGAATAGACTGGGCCGACCGTTTCCTGCTGGGCTTCCTCGCGGGCTGAGTGGAGCTGGGCCGCGCCCTAAGCCCTCCCTTGGGCTGCAGTGCACGAGAATGCAGGGTCCCAAAACCCTGGACTGAACAGCGCTGAAACCTGCACGAGTGACGGCTGGAACACGCCGGGAAATTCTTCACCGACGAAACCTCGCCGTTTCCGAAGGAAACGACCGTTAATGTGAGCGCCTCGACACGTAGATTCTGATGGTGCCCTCGGTTTCGATCGATTCGACGGGAATCGCCGGAAAATTGGAGAAGATGATCGGATGTTGACCATTAACTTCTTAGATCTACAAATTTTGACCGGCAAATTGACAACCTTACCGAAGGAATTTTTGCTTGAAAATTTAAGGGCAGAACGAGCATGAGAAGAGCTTCACGGTGGTGTAGAGATTTTCTTAATCGAAGGATATTTCGTGACGGCCGGCGGTGGACGACGGCGGCACCGGCTGAGGTCCCCATCTAGAGACTCATCTCGACGAGAGGATTCCAATGGTACTTCCGGATTTTTCATAGCCCTCCCGAATCGTCGGGAAAATGCGTTTGAATGCTCGATTTTGACCAAATTTTTGCTAGATTTTGAAACTTTGACCGCAAAATTGACGACCTTCCCGGAGGAATTTTCGCATGAAATTTAAAGGGGAAATTCTCCTCGAGGAGATCTACCCGATGACACCAACAATTTTACGATCGGAGCACGTTTTCCAGCGACCGGTGGCGGAGGTGGCGGCCGGTGGAGATGAAGGAGATTGCTGGAAAATTTTCGAGATTTTTCGATCGGAACTCTGTTTGGCTTTTTGAACGGGGTCCCATAGACTGCGCCAATGAAGTAAGTAAAATTTCACCCGGGCTCCTTCAACTCGAACGGCCACCGGACCTGCAAGAACCCAACGCCGGGAAGGGTCCCGGCGTCGGGCCTCCGATGAAGGAGATTGCTGGAAAATTTTCGAGATTTTTCGATCGGAACTCTGTTTGGCTTTTTGAACAGGGTCCCACAGACGGCGCCAATGAAGTGAGTAAAATTTCACCCGGGCTCCTTCAACTCGAACGGCCACCGGACCTGCAAGAACCCAACGTCGGGAGGGGTTCCGGCGTCGGACCTCCGACGCTCAAGTCAGTATCACTTCCAATCACTTCCATTCTCAAGAGTATAATTATGAATGTAGAGAGAATGAGAGAATAGGATACCTTAACCCCTTTTATAGGGGAATGTACCTTATGACCCAAGTTGGACTTGTCCAATAGCATTATGCCACGTGTCCTAGCCATGTGTAGGTTTATTCTTCAATATATCCTTTTCTTATCTATTAAGATTGGTATAGTATATAATATCCTATATCAAACTCAGTTGGCAACAAATATCAATATGAGTTATATAACATCTATTGAAATCTTTTTCGGCATAGTATATATCCATGTTAATTTTGCTGAGCAATTTCCAATTTTCCAACAGTTATGACCCCCCAAATCGTATGACAGTCAAAAGAAGGAAAAAATAGTGAAACGAAAATCCGTCGAAGTTTGGGCTAACTGATTTAACCGACCTTAGCGGGATTCCAACTTTAAAACGGCTCTGAGGAAGAAATTCAAATATTGAAAACTGAACATTCCCATATTTCTTCTCAGATAATTCTCATTATAATCTTTTCTCTTTCTTCAAAACCGGAAATCCTCATCTTCATCATCATTTGTATTCACCTCTTCTGATCCTTCACACCGCACTCACGCACAAAACACGTAGTAAGCAAGAAAAAGAAGAGAGAAAAAACATCGGATTCATCCTGAAAGAGATAAACCCTTAAACCAATTGCCGTTTGATCATCAAGCCCTATTTCGAATCAGATTCTGTAAGTTACATTTTATTTAACAATCTACAATTTCTTGAACTCTGTAATCACCGCTTTTCTTGTAGTAACTGTCCTTTATCGTAGTAAGGCGTTTGTATATATCATCAAATTCTCGAACTGCTTCTCTTTTTTTATAAACTTCATTTTCTTTGACTATTTGATTTGTAGTTTTTCTCCAAACCGTGACACTCTTTTACTAATTGTCTTCCCTTGTAATTTGAGTTGTACTCTGTTCTTGATCATATTTTTCTTTCATATAATAATAATTTACAGTGTTGATTTGTATCAACAATGAGGATGACTATTATTCTCAGAAACTTACTTGATTGGCTTCAGAGCGTTTTAAGTTGAATAATCTCTAATAGTCCACAATTTCTTGAAATCTTTGATCCCTGTCTTTTCCTCTAAACCCTTGCTTTTCTTGTACTAATTGTCTTCTAGCGTATGCTTAGTACATGTATTCATTTTCAATAATTGTTTTTTTATTTTATTTTACAGTGTTCAGTTTCTTCAACTATTTTATTTGTAGATATTCCTCAAACAGTGATTTCTTTGAGTTGATCATACTCTGCTTTCATGTCATTTACAATATTGATTTGTAATTAACAAACAGAACGTTTCTTGATTTGGTCTGCAGAGCAGGTTTGGCAAAACCATCTCAAAATGAATGATCTCATGACAAAATCTTTCCAAAGCTATGTTGAACTGAAAAAACAGGCCCGTTTGGATCTCGAACGAGAAGGTGCTGACCTGGAATCGGGCCTCGAAGACGAAAACCTCACGCAATTCTTCCAGGAAGCCGAACTCATAAAAATCCACATGAAAGAGATCGGTCATCTCCTTCACGACCTCCAAACCCTGAACGAGAAGACTAAGTCAACCCACAGTGCCAAAATCCTCCGCGGGCTTCAGGCCCGCATGGAATCCGACATCTACTCAGTCCTCAGAAAGGCCCAAATCGTGAAAACAAGACTCGAATCCCTGGACAAGTCGAATCTTGCAAACCGGAAAATATCATTCAAGTATGGAGAAGGCAGCGCTGTCGACCGGACAAGAATCTCGACCACAAACGGGCTTCGGGCCCGGCTAAGGGACCTCATGAACGGGTTTCGGGCCCTGAGGGAGAATATAGTCTCGGATTACAAAGATGGCCTGAAAAGGAGGTACTTTAACGCGACAGGCGAGTGCCCGACTGAAGAAATAATCGAGAAAATGATGGCTTCGCGAAATGGGGCTGTTGAGGTTTTTGAAAATCGTGCGGATGTTGTTAATGCGGAGAATAGAGAGAGGCATGAGGCTGTGATGGATATACGGAGCAGTTTGAACAGGCTTCATCAGGTGTTTCTCGACGTTGCTGTTATGGTGGAGACTCAAGGGGAGAGTATTGATGTTATCGAGAAAAATGTTGAGGTGGCGGCTAGTTTTGTTGGTGGGGGTACGAATAGTCTGTTTTATGCGAACCAGGCGAAGAAGGGTCGGAAGTGGACGTGTTGTTGGGTGTTGGGTGTTGTTTTTGTCATACTGTTGGTTTGTGTGGTGGCTATGTTCACAAATTGAACATGTCCTTTTATGTCTGTCTGTTGGAATGTGTTTACCATTTTATTAATAATTGGGTTTTACAAGTTTTTGGTATGATACTGGTCAGGAGGAGTTGTTTTGAGTTTTGATGGTATTTGAAGTGGATGTCAATATTTCTGGGTTTTTCTAGAGGTAAATAGTTCAAACTGATTTTGATGTACTGCTGCCTGCATGTGTTTAGTTTGATCAAGTTTTTAGGCCTTTTGTTATGAATTTTATTTTGTTTCCTTTGTCACAGTGGTAAGCAAATATGAAAAACTGAAGCTTGGAGGAATTTTTCAAGCATCACCCTTTTACCATCACCCCTCTGCTAAAATATTTGATTGACTTACACAAATAATCACTCTTAAGTATTTAATTATAGTAAAATTAAGCTCCAACTGAGGTACATTTTTGTTTTCTGAAAGATATTCACTTCTTTGTAATCTGGAAAAAATTTATGGGTAACCTTGGCAATAACCACAAAGATTTATAAAGAACTCTCTTATTCAAGTATAATCATATGGTGGGTGCTGGTTTCTACTGATCAAGTAAAATAAAAAAATGTTCCATTACGAGTCTGTATAATTTTGCCAACTATTTTTTGTAGATATCCCTATTTCTACTATCTTACAGCAGACTTAAAACAATTTGCTCCAATTGGATGAAAATGTCATACTCAGAATGTGTAATGACATTCTTATTGTCATACATATATAAGTTGTACATGTTCAGATTTGAAACAAAGTGCTCTCAATAAAAGAAGAAAAAATAAAAAGGCAAGAGAAAATCTATAAATTGTTGCCCAAGAGTCCTAGACTCAGTGGTCAGGCCACACTTAGATTTTGCACCGCAGTCCATGATTCAGTCGGCTCTAGCTGAACCTGTCCAATCTGACACATTCACCAAAATACAAAATTATATAAGAACTGTGGAAATTTTGTAGACGTTTATTAAAGACTGAAAAAAGATAATAAATATAAACACTCAACAAGGTCTTCCTAGAAAAAGCAGAGAGTTACAAGGAAGGAAACAATAGATGTTTACACGAGACTAATGTACCTTGGCATTTTCAACGCACACAAAATCTTTATAACATGATTCCATTGTCATATGTGGATTCCACAAAACAGTATCCGACCAGCTACAGTGAGAATAAAAAGGAAATGAATCAAGCTTGCCAAAAAAAGAAAGAATACAAGAATTCAGAATAAAAAATCTCGATTACTTGGTGTTCCTGATGGTAATAACATCACCCAAACCATTGTTCAGCTGTAGCTCTTTGGGAGCATCAAGATAGATGCAATCTACAAATCCAGGAAATGTGACAGTATCCCTGCTTCAATAAAATCAATTGACAGAAATATAATAAATCACATACTCAAAAATCTGTTACCATTGATTTACCCACAGGTAATGAAACACTATGCATAAAAATTAGTACAGGCATGAATTATGTCTGAGAAATTTATGCTAATAATAGATAGACTCAATATTTTTTGGTCTTGCAACTGTGGAATCATATTTGCCAAATGTTAACAACTATTACAAAGATTGGTTGGGTGATGAAGAAAGCAATAACAAGATATAAATTAGGATCCAAAAATAATCCAAGTTGTAAAGGCCATCATGATTATACATGTCGGTGTTGCTGTTTGCTTCTTTTTTTTTTTCCAAATATATTCTCATGTGGTGAGCATATTTAATTTAATATAATAAATGTATCAAAAACTCTTACTCAATATTCATTCACCCACTAAAACTTGTATCATTTTAGTTTTATGGGTCGCAATATATTGGTACAAACCTTTCCTCCTTACCCTCCACTGGATTTTTAGGATCGGGATCTTTGTTCAATGTTTTGCAGCCTTTTAGGCCTCTAACAGATGCCCCTGATGCTGATGCCTGGATATAGGGAATTATGTAATAAAGTTTTGGAGACTTAATAAAAATAAAATCTTCTCAAGTGACGCAAAATGATGCAGAAATTCAAATAGAGTAAGGAGCATGATAGCCACGTGTCCACTTTATTACTGTAATTTTTGTTTCCAAGTTGGTATTATACTATGTATTTGAAATTATAAAATCTGTAACACAAACATACTCAATAATATTACAACTAGAAATAACAGTACAGGGTTTATACTTACACTAAAGTACGTATGCAGGGCAGTAGAAAATGAAAATGGCGTTGCATCAGTATTTGTTACTTTTAACTCTGTCGAGAGGGAATTTCTATCTAGAGTGACCTGTAAATGAGTCACCAGAAGGATTAAAACGAGCTTAGAGTGTCAGAGTTAATAAAATAACAAAAATAAGAAACAAAAAACACTGGGAATGAATTTTGTGGAACTACAAGACAACAAAACAACTTCTTTGCCGACCTTGTATAATGCTTGAAAACTGTAATCCCACATAGCACGACTGTATGGACCATCTTTCAGCTCTAGAGTAATAGAAGGATTCTCTTCCACATTCTCTGAACTAACAATAGACCAATTCATATTTCTTGCAAATCCGTGCTGCGAATCATGCATAAATCCTTAAGCTAGCTGAGGTCAAACACTAGAAACTGGAAATATACTTGCATCAATTCTAACAACATCATAGCTTCAACAAAGTTTTTTAGCTTACCACGATTTAATTAGCAACAGATGCGCCAAATTCAAATCGAGTAGCCAGAAAGTAAATTATGAATGTTTTACCTGTTGCATTGGGCCAGGCCCAAACTGTGGGAAACAGTGTGGTATTCCTCCACTAGCCATTAGCCAAACAAAGAAAATGAATGAGCATGAATACAAAATCAGTTATTATTGAGTTATAGCTCTCAAAGAGCCAAAAAGTCGAGTATCGTGAATCATACACCAATTATTACAACAGATCATAAGCAGCAAACTCATGGTGAGTCATAAAATCTGAAAATTTTCCCTCTATTTTTTTAGAACTTCGTCGTAACTCTGATGAAATGCATCACGATATACCTGATAGGCTTCTGCCCGGTAAAAACGGCATCTGGCCTAACAAATAAGAGGTCTTTACTCCCAACTTTCCAGGACGTGACACAACCTCCATATAAGTACAATTCTACCTCACTGAAAAATATAAAGGGCATTCAAACAGAGGCCAACATATTCTACAAGATACGCAATCATTTATATCCTCGATATATGAGTATCTGAAAATCACTCTCAAAATTATAAGGATTGCAGTGAGAAATATCCAGATGATATATATGCTAATTCTTAATTTTTTAGTAATAGATGGAACTCAAATGACTATTTACTGGAAGAGAAAAATGGGCAACCTATCCAACATTCTTATAGAAATCATTAGTACTACGGTATGATTAAAATATCCAATAAAAATTATTCCACCATTTGGTAAAGACAATCTTCAAGCCAACCAGGTTCTGAAAATCATATTATCATAGTCCCAAAAGGAAAAAAAGAAGTTGAGCTATTTATGCTTGGATCAAATACCCAAATACGAACCATTTGACAAGATAGTCATATGCTTCAAACTTCACATTACTCAGATTATGTTAAAAGGGGAAAACCAGAAAAATAAAATACCTTCCGTGAAGAGAAGTCAAGATAACCTTGGGCATATCTCCCAGACCCTTTGTAACTTTCACATTCTCAACGTTTGAGCTTGCGGATGCCATTGCCCCCACAGAAAATCTGCGCAACAAATCAAGAACTTATTCCCTCTCTCTCTCTCTCAATGTTCATTTAGTGAAGGAACTGTAAGCAAACTGACCGGCTGATTCGGCGAGGTGTGGTTACGGAAGAGAGAGAAAGTATCATCATCTTCGGTCCCTCCGGACAACTTGTCGATTTTCTGTGGTGTTGAGAGGTGAGTGACAATTTCCATATGTTATATGTGTGTGCATAATATATATAAGCTAGTTAATGAATTTATTACATTTTATAAATTTTTGTCCTTAGTAAGAATAAACGATATAGATGTAAACTATTTAAATTACATATTGATATAGCCCCAACTCGGCTAAGTCAGATTCCCTAACTTGAGCAGAACGAGCTAGTCAAGTCGGTCAGTATTGGTCTGATAGCTCGACTTTAAGGATTAGGGCTGAACACGGGACTTGGAGATTATCATTTTGAAAATCGAACTGAATTCATTCCCAAGCGAAAAATATGATCGCTTGACTATCTCCGAGTCAAATCGTAGCGATTTTTTTTTTGTGCGATTATAGAGATTCATAAAATATCCGTAACGAGAATTGAACCGAAAATAACTGTACCAAACCCAAAAACAATTGAATCATCGCACAGAAACCCTGAATCCAAGGGTACCTGCCGAGGACCAAGAAAAAACCCGACTCGTAAAGAAACCACCTGACCTGTAGATCTATAGTCGTGACAATGGTATTATTGAATAGCAAACACTTTACTAAGGTGAGTGACATGGTATTTAGTGTATACGAACTTAACCAACATGTAATCTACATACACTTCCAAAATGTCTTGTTGACGAGCCTCTGATAAGTCGCTCTTGCGTTCTTTATTCCGAATGACATCATGTTGTAGCAGTATAAACCACGGGCTGAGTAGAAGGATGTATGCTCCTCATCGTCTGGGTTCATCGAAATCTGTGTACCCTGAATAGGCATCCATAAAGCTCATCAGCTTGTGTCCCGAAGTTGCATCAACCATGTAGTCTATGTGTGAGATTGTGTATCTATCTTTTGAACAAGCCTTGTTCAAGTCGGTGAAGTAAATGCACTAGCGCCACGAGCTATTGTTCTTGTTCACCAACACTGGATTAGATACCCATATTGGATAACAAGCCTCTCGGAGGAACTGGTTGTCCAGCAGCTTGATCATTTCTTTTTCTAGAGCTTGTTGTCGGTCCAAACCGAGTTTTCTTCTTTTCTGTATAACGGGCTTGACCGTCTTTTCAATCTGAAGCTTGTGAGAAGCTAGCTTCAAATCAATGCCTATTATATCCTCGTTTATCCAAGCAAACACGTCAACGTTTTTTTCAGGAGCTTAATGAGCTCTGGCTAAAAGAGTCCCTTCAACCCTTGCTAATTCGGAGCTGTTTCAAACAAATCGTCACATCCACGTAGATAAACTCTATTTCCTCCATGGGCTCGACATGCTCTCAATTTTTCTTTTGTTGAATTGGTCTCGTGGGTCTAGCTCGTCTTCTTCCTTTATGGGTTTTTTGCCCATCTTCTTCCTCTATCCCGGGTGAGGTCGTCTTCCGTAGGTGGAACACCATTTGAATTCAATCATTGCAGGGATGCATGTCCTTGATATCAACTCCCATCATCACGAAAGTGCTCAGGTACGAGAAACCAGCATAGGCCCAAGTATCACTAAGATTCAATGAACTTGGATGTGGCAGATCAACTAAGTTACAACTAGGGCATTTGAATGAGGATGATCGAATGGTGCAGAGTCTTCATCCGAAAAAGTGGCAGAATTTGTCCGTACAAAAACTGGCAATTCGAGTGAAATAGGTTGAGTTCGTTGACTTGCTCTCATTCTTCTTGCGTAAGCTTTCATCTGTTGACGGGATTTAGATGGTTCTCCTCAACTGGTGATTATTATTCGAAAGAGAGAGGACTCTCTTGTGTGTGACCTGTATCAAGGACAGACGAATCAGTGTGCAAAGTCATGCTTCCGTCTCTTAGTCCAGGAAGAACTCACTTCATCTTCTCAGGAATGACTGCGAGATAAAATTTCTCTCGTCTAGTCTCTGGCTCTCTTCGGGTTGACATCAAGGTCTCGTTCATCATCACTGTTCGAAGGATCCACCGTTCGAACTTTTTCTTCCTTATTGGTTTCTCGTCAGCTTACGGACTTGGGGGGGTCTCTGATTAATTTTAAAAACACCGTTATGAGGTTGCGACACTGGTCTGTTTTTTGCCCATACGACTTGTGGTAGGCACAATATCAAGACTTGTCGAGATGGTCTTCACAAGCTCGGATCGATTGGGCTTTCGAAATGATACCTTTGTTCTTCAGCTCTTCTTACACCACTGCTGCTCCCGCATAATATAGTCCATGATAGTTGACAGTAGACTTTTCTTGTTGTTGCTTGTGCAACGCTTGGACCTGAAGGTCCGAGCATCTCTTGCGGTGTCTTTACTCATTTTGGTATCCTTGTTCTTTGCAGTCCAAGTGTTCAACATAGCAAACGATGGAACAACCATCAACTCTGCTGCTATCACGTGTTGCTGACCCTGCTCTAGGAACACTTGATACGTCCGAAGTTTGTTCTGATACAAGAACCAGTGAAACATCGAGTTCGGCTCTAACCCAAAATAGACGGACACCAACAAGATTTCTGGGTGGCATGGCTCTATATTTTGTACGCAGTTGTTAAATCATGCTATGTAATTCTTCATGCTCTCGATGTTCATGATAGACTCGTTTGGTATGATGCACACTTGAGACTCGATGAAATGAGACCACAAAACCGACCTTAACTGTTCCTAACTACGAATGAAGTAGAAAAACAACGAAAGGTACCACCTCTATGCTCTGGATCCCATGGTTAGCAAAAACATACGACAGTTGAGGGTATCTCTGGCCCCATGTAGGGCCATACATGAAATGTATGGCGCAACGTGGGCATAGAGGTTCGAATTCCCGTCATATAACCCTATTTATGGTATTTTTATATTTTCAGCAACGTGTTGATGCTAAAAAATGTCAACAATTAAAAATAAACTATACATTAAATTATGTACTTTGTTCAATTTGCACGAATATATTTGTTCAGGAAGTATGGGTCGAATAGGTGTTCTACTCGTGACTTTTGGATATATGTCCTTTATGAGAAGAATATATGAATTAAGCTATATGCAAAAACCAGATTATATCATTGAGTAATGCTTCTCAGAGAATTAAAATGCTTTCTCTTTTTAGAGAATGAATGTTCTCCCTCTTTTCTCCATCATTGAGGCTTTATTTATAATATAGTACATTTGTACTTTTAGTACTATTTATTATGTGTAGTACAAGTTATTATTCATGGGCATGTTCATCTTTTGAGGCCTATTCGGTCTGGAATACTTTCTGTTCGTACTTTGAGTACCTGTTCGTCCTTTGAGGCCTATTCGATCCAGAATATTTTATGTTTGTACTTTGAGCTCCTGTTCGCCTTTCGAGGCCTATTTGGTCCGTAATACTTTCTGTTTGTACTCTGAGTACATGTTCGTCCTTTGAGCCTATTCGGTCTGGAATATTTTCTGTTCGTAGACTTAGAAAAATCTGCACTCTAGAACTCTATTTTTGAGCATTTCAAGCCCTTTTTAGCCCCCGTTTACTTTGCCATGTTGACCTTTTTTATTAGCCGTGATCAAATTGGGTATCACCAATAGGTCCCCGAGGTTGGACATGTTTACTATATCACAATTTGAAAGGCTTCTCGTCTGCACTTCATCTTGACTAATCTTTATGTAGGTCCTTTTTCCTATGCGAGATCGGTGATCTGAACTTTTTACGTGGTGGCTCGAACTCTCTTTATTTTTGTGAGCTTTGAGATATTTGCTTGTTTGAGCTTTGAGATATTTGTGTTATGCAGTATATGCATAATATTAGCATGTGATGAATGCGTGAATGTATGATGATTGCGTGAGTGTATGATGGATGCGTGAATGTATGATGAATGTTCGATGTTCTTAGCGCCTGACCGAACTATTTTTTAGCTCGAGTTTTAGTACTAAAAAGTATCTTATCGGGCTAGTGGCCTTCCTGAATTACTTTAAATGTTCGGGATTTTACTCTTATAGAGTCATTTTATTTTTCATCGAAAAACTTTTGTTGTTCGGTACATTACACTTATATGGACATTTTGCTTTCATCGAACAACTTTTGTTGCTCAGACTTACCCTTATAGGGTCGTTTTGTTTTTCATCGAACAACTTTTGTTGCTCGGACTTACCCTCATAGGGTCATTTTGTTTTTCATCGAACAACTTTTATTGTTCGAAATTTACTCTTATAGAGTATGTTTTATTTTTCATCGACTAACTTACTGTTATTCGGCTTGTACTCTTTCTGAGCTCGATCCTTCATGTGAGCCGGCGTGAATGGGTCGAACTCGTCGCGAATAAACAGTCGGTCTCGGTGTGAATGAATAAGTCGGGCGAGTCGCGAATTAATAATCGGCCTCGGCTTGACTGAATGAGTTGGGAGAGTCGCGAATGAGTAATCAGTCTCGGCGTGACTGAATGAGCCAGATGAATCGCGAATGAATAATCGACCTCGACGTGACTGAATGAGCAAGGCGAGTCCCGAATGAATAATCGGCCTCGGCGTGACTGAATGAGTCGGGCTAGTCGCGAATGAATAATCCGACTTCAGTGTGATTGAATGAGTCATGTGAGCCGCGAATAAATAATCGAACTCGGCATGATTGAATGAGCCGGGCCAGTCGAGAATAAATAATCGGCCTCGACGAGACTGAATTAGCCTGGCGAGTCGCGAACGAAAAATCGACCTCGGCCTGACAGAATGAGTCGAGCGAGTTGCGAATGAATAATCAGCCTCGACTTTAGTGAATGAACCTGGTGAGTCGCGAATGAATGATCGGCCTCGACGTGACTGAATGAGATGGGCTAGTTACGAATGAATAATCGGCCCCGGCGTGACTGAATAAGCCAGGCTACTCGTGAATGAATAATCAGCCTCGGTGTGACTGAATGAGCCGGGCAATCGCGAATGAATATTCGGCCTCGGCGTGGCTGAATGGCCCTGGCAAGTCACGAATGAATAATCGGCCTCAATGTGACTGAATGATCCAGGCTAGTCGCGGATGAATAATCTGCCTCGGCAAGACTGAATGAGTCTGGCGAGTCGCGAATGAATAATCGACCTCGGCCTGACTGAATGGGCCAGGCAAGTCGCGAATGAATAATCAGCCTCGGCTCGAGTGAATGAGCCAGATGAGTCGTGAATGAATGATCGACCTCGGCGTGACTGAATGAGTTGGGGGAGTCACGAATGAATAATCAGCCTCGGCGTGACTGAATGAGTCGGGCGAGTCGCGAATGAATAATTAGCCTCGGCGTGACTGAATGAGCCGGGGAGTCGCGAATGAATAATCGGCCTCGCCGTGAATGAATAAATGGAGCGAGTCACAAATGAATAATCGGCCTCGGCGTGACTGAATGAGCCGAGCGAGTCGCGAATGAATAATCGCCTCGGCGTGACTGAATGAGCTGGCGAGTCGCGAATGAATAATCGGCCTCGGCGTGACTGAATGAGTCAGGCTAGTCGTGAATGAATAATCGGCCCCAACGTAACTGAATGAGCCCAACGAATCACGAGTGATTAATCGGCCTCAGCGTGATTAAATGAGCCGGGCTTGTTACGCCCCGTTATTTTTAAGTGAAAAATAATAATTTATTTTTCCAAAATGAGAGTTAATTTTTCAAAAATCAAATTAAAAACTTATTTAATGGGCGCTACTCAACTATCCACATAAATCAATCACTTAATCAATGGGGTACAACCACCCCGAAACAAAAATCTCACGTCAACACGATATAATTCCAACGTTCAACATGCCTCAACCTTTAAGCAGTCGTATTCAAATAATCCAGTTCAAAGCTTCCACATGATAAAATATCCAATCTTAAATTAATTCCATCATGATAAAATCCAAGTCATATCAAAATCCCAAGTAGATATTCAACTCATATCAAATTCCCAGGTTCAACAATCGATTTCAAATTCTAAGCATGCGATACAAAACCCAAAAGAAACAAGAATCAATATGGTTCAGTTTCCAACACCAATAATAAACAAGTCTGACGATGAGATAAACATTAACAAAAAATTGGAAGCAGGTAAGTTCAACATCAAATAATGACCCAGCCTCGCTCGTATTTCGCCACGGCCACTAGCTCTACCTGAAAAGATGGTTAATAGTGGGAGTGAGCAAACAACTAGCTCACTGTGGGAATACCATGCAGTATAATCAATATAAAGACAATCGTAATCGCAGTATGTAAGAAAATCGGCTAGTCTATCCTCCTAAACACAACCACTCTCATATGATCGCACGTAACCTATCAATCTCGAAAAAAGATAGGAAACAAGCCATCCACACAACAAAGACGAGAGCCGTCCCCAAGAAAAAGACCGGAGCAACCGCACATGAAACATCACAGACTAAGCTCTCTAAAGGCTAGAGTTAGGCCTCATAGACTATCGGTTCACATGCATACCTAGATTATCAAGCCAAGCATTTATAGAAATTAACATACATGGTAAGTTTATCAGCACCCACCTGATAACTGATAAGTAAGGATAAAGGTGCAGAAGAAGAGTAGTTGACGTCACTCGGAACAGCTCTCGAGATTCGACTCCTTGAAATATACTATTTAAATATTTTTATCTTATTATTAAGGGGTGGTGGAAAACAAGCAAGAACAAACAAGGACAAGCAAGGAAAATTAAACACATAAGGCAAATAAGGCGAACAAGGCCATAACATAAGGCATACAAACCTTCTCTTTCTCAACAACTAAAACATGCTAAACAACACATAATGAGCATGATAATAGCTCCAAGACATCAAAATCAAGCAAGACAAATAATCACATAGAACAACAACAAGCTTCTCAAAACTAAGATCTGACCTCTTAAAGTAGAGCACACAAGTAGCAAAACGTTAATCAATAAAGCTCAGCCTACTTATAAACAACAAGGCCGAACACCATGACTTAATTCCCATTAAATCAAATCATAACTTAAGCATGCTTCTAAACTCCAAGACTGGAAATCTAGCCTCAAAATCAGCTATAGAATCATCATATACCAGCACCTTAAAGACATGACAATAGCTTTAACACAATGGAAATAAACAAGCAAAAATATCAAACATGGCATGCTTTCTCATTCTCCCTTTTTCTCATAAAATTAAGCATGCTTTATCATAAATAAAAATTGAACTAAACACCTCAAAATTTACATATTCTCAGTTCATAGCATGATGATTAAAGTAGTAGCCTCCAAACACACAAAACAACCATGGCAAAATATACCAAATTCGGGCACCTCATTTTTTTTTCTCAAATTCTAAGCATGCTTCTCATTCACTTAAAACTGAAATTAAGCACGAAAAACACATCATATCTCGGCCCAAAACTAAAGCTAAAAGGGACAGCCATCTACCTTTCTCGGTGAAAAGGAAAGAAATGAAACTGAAAGGGAGGCTCGGTTGGCTCTCGACACTCCAAAAGGCTTGGTTTACCGCAGCCCGGTGCCCCTCGGCTGCTTATCTATTCGACAAGGGTGCTCGGAACTCACTGCTCAGATGCGAACAGAGTTGCTGCTGCTTGTCCACTGCGGACGGAGACCTGTTCACTGGTTGCAGGCCGAGAACGTGGCTGGAAGTCGAACGTCTCAGTTATTGCCAAAGGACGGGGCTGAACAGAGCTCGGTCTCCGAAAGCTCAAAATTGTCGGATTATGGTCGGGACTCGCGAGCAGTCACTGCCCGACAAAGATCGAGGCCCGAAGTCGCTGGAGGCTTGGGCTCGTCGGAAGTTGGTCGCGTCGACGGGAAATCTGGTGGCCCTCGGCTCGCCGCGAATGGAGGGTTCACATCTCTAACTGTTGGTCTCGCCGTTGGAAGGGATGACTCAGCCATTGAAGGTCGGGTCGGACCTGGTCGCGCCGGCGATGGTTAGTTTCAACCGCGTCTGGTCGCCGGAGGTTGGGGGTTCCCGGTTGCTCGTCTCAACCGCAACAAAATGGTCGAACCTCAGCCGTGACTGGTCGCTGCCATGAGGGTCGTCAATATTCGATGAAAAGGGTCGAGAGAGAGAAGATGCAAAGGAGAAGAAAATTGTGTTGCGGCGACTGATGTTAGAGAAGCTAAAATGGGATGTTAGGGCTGCTAAAATGGGTCCTTTGGGCTTAAAAAAATTGGGCTAACTGGACTCTATTTTGGGTCAGAAAAAGAGAGTGAAAAATTAATGTATTTGGGCCGGTTTGTTGGACGATAAAAAAGAGCCGAAAATAATAAGTCCAAAATAGGCCGAATTAAGTTATCCGAAAGGACCAGAAATTAATTCGAACAGGCCGAAATAACTAATTTCAAAAGACCGAGATTAAAAGCTCGGTCTGAAAATAAAATCTCAAGGTTTGGATAAAATGCCTCAAAAATGGGTCGAAACGGATTAAGATGGAAAAAGGTTTGGTTTACACGATTAAACCGAAAATCGTCGAAACAAATTAAAATTCTAATCAAATAAATCATAAGAATTCTAACACATATAAATAATAAATAAACACATAATACTCACATAAATAATGTCACATAGCAATCTATACTTATATAATAAGGTGTTCCATTTACGAAATTTAGTAAGTTAAAAAGTCAATGCAAAAAATGCATTACTATTTTGAGCAACATAATATAATATCATATCTATACTTATATCAAAGGAGATTCTATTTACTACATTTACTATCCAGAAAAGTCAACTGCATTAAATACCATTACTAATTTGGTATTATAATATTTTATTTATTTAATTGATTTATTTATTTTTTTATTTTAAAAAGGTAAGTATAATAAAAAGATTTTAATAATAAAAAAATCAAATACCAAATAAAAATATACACTTTGACTTATTTGACTATATTTGGTATTTGATTATACCAAATATCTTCCTATTTAGTATATACATTAAATACTTACTAAAGTATTTATTTGTTTTATTTGTCAAAGTTAAGTATAGATTTGTTTATATTATCAAATCATAAAAAAATATTAAATCCATATTGTAAAAAAAAAATCATATAATTTTATAACAATTCTGCTACACTATTTAACAATATTCCTTTTTTTTATTATATAATAAAATAATAATTAAATATTATATGGTGAACAACAATAAGTAAAACTGTTACTTTATCTTATATCAAGGGATAAATTTACATGCTAAAATTAAATTTTTATTAGTATAAATATTTTAGTGAGATAATATATTAATTATTTTACAAGCTAGCCCTAACATGCTCATATTTAATGTTTTAAAAGATGTAGAAAAAAACTTATAATAACTCTATCGTTTTTTAGACTTAAACGTTGATTAAAAGAGGTAAAAATTCCTAATTTTTTAGAGTTAAACGTTAATTAACACCATAGATTGAGAGTCTATATTTAGTAAAATTCCTAATTGTAATAAAAAATTAATTTTTGCTATATTTTAGAATATCTTTAAATTCATTATAAAAAAAAAAGAATATCTTTGCCATGTGGTGTGGGTCAAGCTGAGGATATTTTTCAGATAACATCTCATGTAGTATAATTGAAAATGTTTGGATTATTTATGTTTTGTTGTTGCTTGGTTGTGTTTGTTGAACTTGTACTTACTTTCGCTTTCCTAAACTGTGTTTCAGAATTTAAGACTAGTATTTCAATTTAAGAATTTCAGACTACATGTGTAATTCAAGTAAATTTTCATGGCCTTAATTCTAGAATGAATTTTACTTGGCGGCATGGATAATAGATTAAAGAGATTAAAGATTAAAGAGAGTCAGATTAAAGTTGAGTAGCATCCGCAGTTAGATTAAAGTATTTTCGAAAAAGTTAGTTAGAATTTACGAAAACTAAATCAGCTATTTAAATTAATTAGCGCAAAAATTTTACTCTGATTTCTAGTAATAGTAGGCGGGGTGTTACAGACTAAGATTGGGAATATATACGCGGCTTCCTGACAAAATGGGAGAGTGAGCAGAATAGGTTCATACCAAACGTGGAGAAAATGTACTCCGACAGAGATATTGATGTTTTTCCGGCGGGTTACACCAAACAACCGATGGCGGGCCTGCCTTCCTTCTAGCGCCAATTGTTGATGCTCAAAAATGTCAACAATTAAAAATGAATTGTACACTAAATTATATACTTTATTCAATCTGCACGAATAGATTTGTTCTGAAAATATGGGCCGAATAGGTGTTTTACTCGTGACTTTTGGATATATATCCTTTATGAGAAGAATATATGAATTAAGCTATATGCAAAAACAAGAATATATCATTGAGTAATGCCTCTCATAAAATGCTTTCTCTTTTTAGAGAATGAATGTTCTCCCCCTTCTCCATCATTGAGGTTTTATTTATAATGTAGTACATTTGTATTTTAGTACTATTCATTATGTGTAGTACAAGTTACTATTCATGGGCCTGTTCATCTTTTGAGGCCTATTCGGTCTGAAATACTTTCTGTTCGTACTTTGAGTAGCTGTTCGTCCTTTGAGGCCTATTCGGTCTAGAATATTTTCAGTTCGTACTTTGAGTTTGTGATCGTATTTCGAGGCCTATTTGGTCCGGAATACTTTCTGTTTGTACTTTGGGTACATGTTCGTTCTATGAGGCGTAATCGATCCGAAATATTTTCTGTTCGTACCTTTTCCAGACTTAGAAAAGTCTGCACTCTAGAAATCCATTTTTTTTTAGCATTTCAAGCGCTTTTTAGCCCCCGTTTGCTTTGCCATGTGTCACTCTTCTATTAGCCGTGATCAAATTGGGTATCACTACAACTGTTCCCGGAAAAACTTTGGTGACAAGGGTGAGGTCGGATCCACCGAGGAAGTGAATGAAGGTAGTGGTGGTGAAAGAACTCCCCTGGTATTCACATTCTGTCGTGCTTCCAATTCGGCTATTTCCTTTTTCAAGGAGGTCACTTCGGCGTTGTCTCCTGCCACAGTCCGACTCGTGCGGATATTTTTCCTCAAAACGGGTTTCGTTTGCCTATTTCCTAGATGATGAAACACTAAAGGGGTAGTGGACCTGGTACCGATACTATCTTCGGACTTACTTTCTCCGACTTCTTCTCTATGGGTACAAGCAATCACAACCTCTTTTTGGTTTTTAGGTCGACTATCGTGGGAGTGTGAGGGTTGCGATTGACCTG